ATGCATGAGAAGTGGCTCTAAGGCACTGAAGATAGCAGCGAAGCTTAAGGAGCAACCAATCTGCAGAAGTATCTAACAGCCTAGGAATGAAGTAGTCAAACATCTTTTGTTTTACCTGTAAAAACAAAGAACTTAGTGGGTTTTATAATTTTGTTTCATTGGGTTATATAAATTATTTTCTCTTGCTACTATATATATGACTAGTTTTGGTTCCTCCTTATATCCATGTCAACGGTGAATGATGGCAATGCCCTCTCTTCACCTTCATAGATGTTTGGAAGAAGAAAGTCATACATCACTAGTATTGATATTTCATATTTTCTATCTTCCAATTTTGGATACAATTCGTATCCTTTTTGTATATATATTTTTTATTAATATTATGAACAGGGTATATCCCTTGTTTTTTTCTCAAAAAAAAAAAAAAAAAAAAAAACATTTTTTAAAAAAAAAAAAAAAAAAAAAAAACTACTATGATAACATTTGTTTGCTCGGTTTTAAGATAGGAGTTGCTTAAGTGCAGGGTTGGTAAAACTATAGGGCATTTTAAGTGCAATTTAGCCTTAAACTTTTTAGTGCTTATTTTCCTTTAGGGGTGAACAAATTGTGAAGGCCTTCCTCAAAGCTCTTTCAAATTGCAAAATCTAATGGTTAGAGGAGAGTTCGATTATAAGGTGATTCACTACGTGATGTTCATATGTTTCAAGTTGTTGTGCATACCTACCCTCCTCCCCCAACCCCCAAAAAAAATCTAAAAAAAAAATCATTCAGTTGATGGGTGAATGTTGGTGTATATCGATCTAGAGATTTTGCAACTATATCTGTATAATATAATAAAGATTCGGTAAGTAGTTGTGAGTCTACACTAGTTCAATTTGCTCTCAAATGCAGATGTACATTTCTCTCGGATTTTCTGTCCATAATGTAGTTGTAACCAAATTATCCATGATACAACATAATTGATCTATTTTTCTGACACATTTTATTTAAAAAAAGTTGGTTTGTTTGGCTTTGATAAAATTTAATCAAACCAAATCGAAACGCATTAGTTCTGTTCTTTTTTATTTGATCTATTTAATTAAGTTGGGCTTGAATGTACTAAGATAAAAAAAATGAGTCATTGGGTTATTTAACCCAAAGTCCAAAGAAAGATGCAGATTAATAAGTACGCGAATGAAGAATAATAAGTAGTGGTGGAAAAGACAGAAGGGAATGTTGATTTCGTTCCGATTGAAATTTTTTCAGACAAAACTAATCCGAACATATGCTAAAACGAAATTAACACTCATCCTGCATTTATTCATCATTCTTCTGCTGCACGAAAGTCATAGAGAAGGCTATGGGACAATGAATGAAACATATTTTTTGTTTTGTGAATAAATAAAGGGGTGATTGGTTCAATTTCTATTAAAAAAAAGAAAATGAAAAGTATTAAAAAATTAATTTATTTATATTTCTATAGAAATTTTTATAGGAAAAGTTTATAGATCTCAAAAAGTACAACTTTTCTTATTTCTTACTCTTTCTTTGTTTGGTTCAAAACAAGAAAATGGGTCCATGACTTTATAGAAAATGAGTTATTTTATTTATTTTTTGGTTGGGTATGTAAATTTTATTGAAAAGTGCAACTCGTACAAAAAACTTGAACAGATCAACAACCGAAATCGCTGACCTGAAGAAGTTGATCAAAAACCTCAGTAGATCTGAGCAAGATCAACAACTGAAAACCCCAAAAGACCATATCAACAATCGAAAGCCACCACAAAGAGAGCAAATCTAAACAAATAGAGAAGCTCTGGATAAGATCAACATTGGAAAACCCAACAAAGCTCCACCATCGTGACCGAATCCACCATCAAAACCATGAACAAGTTAGATTAAGTAAGCAGATTAATAAGCCATCGAAGTGAATTGAGGGTGGAAGCGACAGCGGGGCGCAGGTAGTTTCGAAGGAAAGAGAATTAGGGGCGGAAGCGACAACGGGGCGTGAAAATTTTAAGGGAGAAAGAGAATTAGAGGTGGGAGTGAGAACGTGAAGGTTGAGAAAACCCTAAAACAAAATATCCTCTAAAAAATGTCCACGAGAAAATGAAATGAGGATGGAAAATAGGATACATGCTAGTTATATTATTTTTAATAGCAAATGTAAGATTTCTCTCAAATTTCCTAACATTTTGAGAGGAATTTGATTTCTATAAAATCTGATACTTTTCCTTACTTTATAGAAAATATTTCCATAAAAGTTTTTTGAACCAAACACAATTTATGGAAATGTACAGAAAAGTTTTAATTATAAAATTACCATGCCAGGTGTTTTTCTAAAAGTTTTCTACAAAACGGGTAAACCAAACATCCCTAAGTAGAAAAATAAGAAACCTATGCTGGTTTTGCATCAATGAGCTTAATAATTAGTCACTGGGATTTCAACCTGAGACGGCTGGGTGCCCTGATGCTAATTATGCTGATAGCGTCAATAAAACCACACTAATAAAAATATTTAATAACAAAATAAAAGATCCATAGAAAAAAAAGACGACAAGAAATCAAACTGGGAGACATGAGATTTTAATGAGGTCCATCTCAATCGAGGTTTATGTACTCTGCAGAGCGGAGTATGCAAATATCTATTATCGCTTTGTCAAATAATTACGATCTTAATCTCTTCCCCATCTTTTTTCTTTTCTCTCTATGATAAACTCTGTCCTGTTCGGGAAAGGGTTAAGGAAGAGGGACTAAGAAGAAAGATTAACATATTTAGTCCATTCGATAACCCAAATGAATAAATTATTAACCCACTAAATAAGTTTTATTTTAGCCTTATGATCAGTTTGTGTTTGGGAACAATGAGGATTTTGACTATTTTCTTTATAAATAGAGGGGTAAACTTTGAATCATTCTATATAGGAGTATTAGTAAACCCTTAATTTTGAAGGGTTAACTTATTTTAATCTCTCTAGAGAGATTAACTTAACCATTATACATTTTTTATGTTTGGAAAATTATGGAGAGTTAACTCACTTTACCCCTTGTATAATTTTTTTTTTTGTTGCCAAACTTGGCCACAGAGTAAACCAGTTTTATTCCACTAAGCAAGGTTACAGTGGACAAATAGGCCATTGTTGGTGGGTACAGGTCCAATAACTTCTGTGACCAGCTTGTATATTTGTATCCTATAAAAATATCTACACTATTTATAAAAAATAAAGTGAGGGTAACTAAATGTGAAGGAATGAGGGATATTTCTCTAACTCTATAGTTGTTTTTATGAGGAAAATCATTATCTGTTGGGGGTAGTTTGGTAAATTCTTATCCCTGTATAAAAAAAATTAATCGAGGGAAAACTAAGTGCAAAGGAATGGAGATAATTCCCTCACTCCATAGTTGTTTTTCTTAGGAAAACCATTATTTGTTTGGGGTAGTTCCGTAAATTCAAATGAAACGGCAAAATGTGCCCTCATTAAATGCATCCCAAAAAAAAAAAATCCCCAAACCTCACCCAACAAAAATGAAATATATATGAATCCTACCAAACTATGTCCAATTAAATTTATGATCAAACGACATATAAAATATTTAATATTATAAATTATAAAAATAGAAAATTGATTAATGTAAAATAGAAAAATACTTATTAATATGAAACCCTGAATTATAAAAATTAGAGGATAGTTGTAAAGGTCAAGATCAATTGTAGAAGGGCTTTACAAATTTGACATCTGAAAATCATTTTACATTCACCGAAAGGATACAGAAAAAGGAAAAATAAAAATATAAAAATTATAGTAGTAAAAGAATAAAAAACTTGCTACTTAAATAACTAAAAAATATAACAAGCTAATATTTAATCAATAAATAAATTAAAAATTTTTATGGAAATAACTGTGTTCTAAAGTTGATCTAAATCTATTATTCAACAAAATGATATTTTCATTTCTTAAATAAGTGTCTTAATATTACTTTTTTTTTGGTAAATGAAAAATTTTATTCATCTCCAATTTGTAAATATTACTTTTTTTTGTAAATAATATTGTGTTAGTTTTCTTGATATTACATTCTTACGATTATTTTTTTTTGTCACTTGCGTTATGCACGTGCAATTTTACTAGTACTTATAAGGAAAAAAAAAATCATTTGACTAAGGGAGATTAAAAGATTTATATACAATCTATACTGTATATCAACAAAAGACCTCATTTTGGTTTGTGTGTCAAATTTTAAAAAATTTCAAATATACCCTTTGCACTGTGAAAAATCAGAAGAAACCCTCTAATTTGCATAAAAACACTTTAATACTCAGAAAAACCAACATAAATATTTTGACCTTTGCAAAACTTAGTGAAACATCTTCATATTTTTTGTTATGCACATACAGTTGGCATATTCTGACCCCTGCAAAACTTAGCGAAAACATCTTCATATTTTTTGTCTGCACAGATAGTATGCATCCTTTAATAGAACAGACACAATTTTCTTGCTAGATAAAAATTTGAATTGATACCCTAACTACCCATCCACACCCAAAATCCCATCCAACAACAAATTGCATCAACGGGCCCCACTTAATTATTATTATTATCAAGACCATACCTTCATGAATCCAATATAACTTCATGAAACAAGATAGCAAGTGTTTTTCCTTCGTGGTGGGAATTTGAGAGCACCGTTCACAACACAGACACACAAGCAAGTCTATCACCGTCTCCTGCCCCAGATAACTTGTTCGATAAAATGACAAAATCAAAAATAAAAGTTTTCTTTTTTACATATATAATCCCAAATCTATCATGTTTGCAAATTTACTTTTCCTAATATAGATATAGATATAGATATAGATATATTTACTAATTTAGCAACCATCTCCTCTGTAAATATGGGGACATAATAATGACATTAGAAATTAAGGGCATATGATTCGTGGAAATTAGTAAATTTCTAAAAGATAGGGGTCAGATTTGCAAATGCAGTGGGTTTGAGGGTAAATATCTGTTTTTCCTCATTATTTATTATTGGCTCTCTGTACCTCTTCCTCTCACTCCATGGAAGCCCAAGGCAGTGACATCAGAACACCGGGCGGTGACCTCACCGCCTCGCCTTCCCGCGAGGTGGTGCTTATCTCCGCCGGCGCCAGCCACTCTGTCGCTCTCCTCTGTAAGAATAATCACCCTTTCTTGATTCTTTTTTATGTGAATTTTGTTTTGAAAGCAACCCCAGCTCTTTATTTTGTTAGTAGGTGAGTTTTGTGGTGTTGGTTTTGTTTCTATCTTGTATAATTTTTCTGGGTTCTTGAGATTACACATAGGCTTGTTCGATTTCAAGGCGAAAATTCGCCACATAGAGCATGCATGAGTTTCTAAATGTGGTTAATTGAAGTTTGAACCTGTGGGTTAGCTGACATTGATGATTACTAGTGATTATAATTTCACTATATTGTTTAAATGTGCTTGTCTATTTTCACACAGGATTTCTGATATTATTATTTAATTCCTTAACATTCAAGTGATCCAAGGTGCAACTGTCATCAGTGAAAAGGAAAACTCGAGGACGATTTCTTCACCTGCACATTCACAGTTGTTTAAGCTTTATTAAGTTATATACTTATTGTTTACTACCTTATGTTTGGTTTTAGTCCCTCGATTCTCTGGCTTTTTCGATTAAGAGGGCTGAATATTTATTTGCTAAAATCTGTTTTTCTAGTTAGATTGTACTTTGTGCAGGTATATGATTGTTTTCTCATACGATTCTAAACTGTTAAATTATGAAGAAGAACGATATATTGGAAGAAAGAGGAAAAATTCCTCTGTATTTCATATTGTGATCGAGAGATACGAATAGTTTTTTATAGGGTACATGGCAGCCTAATTATGGAAGGATAAATACAATAACAATATATTATACCATAGTTGCGCATGCTTAATAAATAAAAGGTAGCCAATCTAACTCTTATTATGACTTCCTCCTTCCAATAATAACTAACAAATTTTGCACATTTGTAATGCCTTGATGGTCACTGTGATTTTTGTTTACAGATGATGGAATTAAATGCGCTTAGCTATTTGGGCACAATATTTCTAAGATATCCTTTAATTCTTTAATATTGAAGTGATCCAAGATGCAAAGGTCATAAAGGAAAGAAAATTGTTTAAGTTGTCATTGTGCACATTACTCAGTTGTTTAAGATTTATCTAGTTGTTATTTATTGTTTGCTGCCTTGTGCTCATTTTTGCTGTCGATTCTTCCTTACACTTGAATAAGAAGGCTGAATAGCTGTTTTGTGAAAGACGTTTCTCTAATTAGGCTTCGTTCGCACTTGTACATGAGTCACTTGCTTTTGGGATTCTCTACACGAATGACTATCAACATTTAGAAAAAAGACCAATTTAAGTATTTTTGTGCTCTTTCTTCTTTTTATGGGAAAAATTACTAGTAACTACCAGTGTACCACTGCCATTTCTACGGGTATTTTCATCTGGGTCGTCTGAAGAAAATCCACTAAATTTAATCTGAACTATTCCAATCTTTCTAGCACGGTGTATGGTTTTGGAGGTTTAACTACTCCAATGTCCTCATTCTATTCAATTTAGTGTACATTATTGCTTGGGATGAACATAATATTATGTTTGTATATGCATACTTAATTCTGAGATGCAAGAATTCATTATGGTTTATAATTTCATTTCTTGATGTCTTCATGCAAATCCTCTTCTGGCACTGCCATATATATGACATCCAAAAAAATAAAATAAAATAAAAACTCTCTGCGCATACTTATGACAACTGGTAATTCTGTTTTCTCTTGGGCACGGGGTGAGGATGCCGGATGGACAATTAGGTAATGGTGATGGAGGGTCTAACTATTCCATAACTCCTCTTTCTATTCCATTTACTGTGCATTGTTGCTTAGCACTGAACATCAAGCTATGTTTTATATACATACTTAGTTCTGATATGCAAGTTCAGTGACACATAACAACAGAGAATTCTTTCTACATTTATAATTACATTTTCTTGACGTCTTCAGGCAAATTCACTCCTAGCACTGCCATTACATATAATATCAAAAAGGAAAAAACTTAATATTCTACACATGTCTATGGTAGCTGGAAATTCTGTTTGTTCTTGGGGACGAGGTGAGGATGGACAACTAGGTCATGGTGATGCTGAAGATCGACTTCAACCGACACTTGTCACTGCATTGGATGGCCAGAAGGTTGAATCAGTTACTTGTGGGGCAGATCATTCAACCGCCTTTTCTGAATCTGAGTTCCAAGTATACAGTTGGGGTTGGTATGTTCTACTTAGATACCGGTCTAGTCATCAAGTTATTCCTCCTCTTTCTTTTCTCCGACAATTCAATTAAATGCAAATTATGTAAGTATTTGATTGTCCTAGGGGTTATTTGCACTTAAATCCCCCAAAGCTTACACCAAATTTAACTTTGATTTCCTAAAGTTTTTTTCTCCCAAAAAATTCGCTAAAGCTTGAAAAAATAAACCCCTGTCAAGTTGTTTGAGGGAAATGAAGTTAAATGTTTTTTGAAATTTGGGGTATTTTGTGGGCCAAAATTGGTGTATCAAAGTTAAAAAAGGTGGAAACTGTGGGGTATTTAAGTGCAAATAACTGTTGTCTTAGTGCTAAATTCACAAGTTTATTGCATTCTGCCCTTCAACCTGAGAAGACACATTTGCAAACACACTACATTTAGTAGCTGTATAGTGTTGATCTGGTCAAGTTGAGGTGGAATGTTATACATCTGAATAGACTACTTGTTGTTTTAAATATCATTGATATAGCTGATATATCAGTCGATATATCCTTTTATAAGGCTTGCCACGATGGTCTCAATATCTTTACAGCTTTTGAGCATTTTGAGCGATATATACCTGATATGGCCGATATATCAACTGATATGTTGGTTGATAAGTCTTATATGGTTTGTCAAGAAATAATATAGTTTTTAGCAAAAAAATCCCTTCCCTATGAAGTTTTAAAGCAAATTCTAGTAGGTTCTTTTTCCTAAGTAAGTTTTTACAATTGGTTAGTGATCCTAAACATATGTTATTGACATTCTTGTATGCTTCGATTTCATTAAGTATGTTTTGATTATATTTTAGGACATTATACTATTTATGCACAACATCCGATTTAATTAAGTATTTTTGATTACATTTTAGGAAATTATATTATATATGCACAACATCCAATATGACACTCCTATATTTACTACATGTCTCTGATATTTTCCCGGTATCTGCAATCTGATATGAGTTTTTGCCATCTGATATTACCCCGATATCTGATATTTAAAATCTTGACTGCTAGACCATGAGATAATACAACAATGAAATCAAGAATAACAGATAATATTTCTGTTTAGACCACCCTTCTGTTTTCTCAGATATGTGGTAGACATCGCCGTCTTGTTGTGCCAAGTACACAGGTGCATACTTCTCAATAAAAAAAAATTCGAACGAAATATGTACTGCTATATGTTTTGTATGTTGTATATTTTGTAAATTTGTAATATTCGCTCAGATGATGAAGTGCCAGCAAGGTTAGCTGATTTTCACTGCTCTAGAACAAGTGTAAAGTGTTAAATTATACTTAGATCTTCACCTAAAATTGTTAGAATCAATTATTTATAACATCATCTGGTTATGGAGGGATGCATAAGCTTTTTTCTGCCAATTTTGGAAACTAGCTGTTTTTTTGGTTTGTAAAAGATGCATCTATACTTTGCAGGGGTGATTTTGGAAGACTGGGACATGGTAGCTCTAGTGATGTATTTACGCCACAGCCGATCATAGCATTACAAGGTATTAAAATTAAACAAATTGCTTGTGGGGATAGCCACTGTTTGGCAATAACCATAAATGGAGAGGTGCATAGGTCAGTACCGCACTTGAAGATGATTTATATTATCATTTGTTATTGCTGCATCTTTATAGGTTTCCTGGAAATTTTATAGTCTAATGTTTTTCTTATTTCTATTTTTTCCCCCTTGTAGTTGGGGAAGGAATCAAAATGGGCAACTTGGTCTTGGTAATACCGAAGATTCTCTTTTACCACAAACGATACAGGCTTTCCAGGTATATATACTGTTTCTCATTCACGAGCCACCGTAAATTCTCTATATTTTGATGCTATAAGCATCATCTCACATTTTTTTTTCTAATGCGAGAGAAGTTTGCTTTTTTTTTTCCTTGTGTGTAAAGCACACCCATATTTATTTAATTATACATCAATTTTCCACCTATATATATTCATATAAAGTATGCACGTGCATGAAATTCATAATTGAACTTTAATTTTTCAAACTTCAAAATGAGATCAAGTTATATGAGAATATGCAGGGGTTGTATCCTGCTATACACATTTCTCTATACTCTCAATTAATTACAAAGAGTATTTCTATGAACATGTTGATGGTTCTATTGAAATGCAATTTGACCTCTAACTTCTCAGTGATTTATTATTATTGATGATCATTCTTCTGTAATTTGTAGGGTATTCCTGTAAAAATGGTTGCTGCTGGTGCAGAGCATACTGCTGCAGTCACAGAGGATGGTGATCTTTATGGATGGGGGTGGGGCCGATATGGGAATCTGGGTTTAGGTGATCGAGACGACCGCTTGATCCCAGAAAGGGTGTCTGCAAACGATGTAAATTTACTGCTCTTAAAGTTTTAACATATTCTGTAAAATACCATTCATGCTAATACACATATTTGAGTACGTAATCGTTTACCGCATCTGAAACTAATACATCAACATCGTATATTGTACTTGTACATTAGCACTAACGAAAAGCTGCAGATGCAAATCTTTTATATTGGATGTTTTATTTTGCTCAATTTTTAACTCCAGCCATCTTAACAAGTGAGAAAGTAAAATATTTGTTAATCAATTAAAAAGTTTATTGTTTCTGTTTCATTCTTGATTTTCACTCAACATCTTCACTCCAAGAATAATTATTTTTAAGTACATGGCGCAATTCTCTTGGAAACACTGTATCAGTTTTTTCATTTTAATGTCTAAAAGGCTTAAGTGGCACCAAGACTTGCAAATAACCACGCTGTACAAGTTATACTGATTTCTCTAAGTTGCTCATTATTGTTATAGATTTACAAGTTTAAGAACTGAACACTCTCTTTACAAAGCAACTATATCGTCTTGCGAAGTTCATCCTCTTGATTTTTCACCATCGAGCTTATGATTATCGGTAATTAACGTGAGACATTTATCCATGATGTGCGTTCAAAAAATGAGTTTCTTCACTTAAATGGAATTTTAAGTCTCGTAGAATAATGGTGGCAATGAAGAAAGATGTGGTATATGTTGTGCGCAGCGGAAATTTCGGCAGAGTTTCTGGTGCACAATAAGAGAGAAAGATCAATAAGAATTCCCGTCTCACTAAGGAAACAAGAATCTGAAGCGAATATCTCAACAAAGTGAGATATCGACTCTTCCTCTCATCAGTTCTAGGACTGACCTGTCGAGGGATCCTAATAAACTATTACAATTGTCACAAACACAAAACAAACGATTTTACGTGGTTCGGCAAATTGCCTACATCCACGGGGAAAGGAGGAGGGAGATGTACTATTAGAAGGAGAGATACAACTAGGGTTTACAATCTTTCAATCTAAACCCTCACACAAACTCTCAGATCACTCACACAAAATCTCTCTCAAAAGGGGATGCACAAAACCCTAACACAAAAGCCGATGCAATTTTCTTCACCAAACACAGCCGCCAAGCATCGATTTTCCCCTTTGCCTGCGCACTGCCAAAAGAAAAAAAAAATCAGCCGACTTTGCACGCCCCTGCCTTCACTTGCACTACGTCCAAATCAGCCGCCTGCAATTCTTTTGCCCCCTCACTTCGCACACCATCGAAAAATACCCTAGCATGGGTATTTATAGCAGCTTCATAATTGTAATCGTGTGGGCCATCACACGCAGCAGAAACGAACCGCTGTTTCACACGGAAAGAAGCCGCTCTCCGCACGTGGTGGCCCCCACGATCTTCACAATTCTCCACCTCGGTGAAGTTTTTCCAAAACTGAGTCGACACCAATCAAACCAAATGTCTCACTTGTTACGTCCAGTACGAAGTGAAATAATTCACGACAACGGACTCAATCCACAACAAGTCGAGAACCCAAATGAGAATGTGAACACTCTCCAAATATCGGTATCAACTCACCAAATCGATCTCACCCCCATCAAAATCCAAACCGACTGCATCGTAAAGACTGCTTATGTATCCTCTTGCCCAAGGAGTCAAGCCGAACGTAGTTCACCCAAATGACCGCGAACGATCTCAATCAACTAGAAGAGTTCGTAACCCTTCTCCAATATCAACTCTGCGCCTGATAGAAATCCAAATGGCCCCAAAGAGTAACGAATCAAATACCTCCACCTGAGGTGAACCAATGGCCATATCCAAACTACATCTATCAGCTGCACCCGAATCAAAACCCAACTCATCATCTGCATCTAAATTCAAATGATCCCTAAGCTGTGTCACCTCAGCTGGAATCTCAAACAATATAGTATGATCTGGAGTAATCTTCACCCAATGTGGAGTAGCATCCCTCTTCACCCGCTGCGATACATCTAAGGTCTGTTCAAAAATCTCCACCTGCTGAGAGTCAAATAGCTTCCTCATTGAAGCCTCAACTAAGTGACACTACCAGACCAAACACCTAATTGAGTTTTACCTCCTATCACAACAGTTGACAACTCTTTAGTAAGATGGCTCGAATATGTCGAAGCCTCAGTCCAGAAACTCTTCTGCAGACCATTGCTTGACAACAAACACCGATCCTCCTCCAGCAAAGCACGATTTTCCAAATTTGCCACCCTATCTAGTTTCCCTAAGATTTCCTTTCCAACGAAGTATCTCGAATTCCCGTGAGCTCGGCTCCAATACAGAAACAAGTCCATCTTGTACCTCCCATCAAAATCAGAATGAAGTACCTTCACCTTTCTGTCCATCTTACACTTCTTCAAACTGTTAGAGACTACTAGGACTTTATCCATAGGGGATTTGGTTGCAACCCAAACACGTCTAGAATAGCCACCAACAAATGTGACGCGGGGTTCGACCCTGGCGTTTTGATGTTGTAACGCGGGTTCGACCTTGGCGTTTTGATGTTGTAACGCGGGGTTCGACCCTGGCGTTTTGATGTTGTAACGCGGGTTCGCCCTTGGCGTTTTTGATGTTGTAACGCGGGTTCGACCTTGGCGTTTTGATGTTGTAACGCGGGGCTCGACCCTGGCGTTTTGATGTTGTAACGCGGGTTTCGACCCTGGCGTTTTGACATTGTAACGCGGGGTTCGACCCTGGCGTTTTGATGTTGTAACGCGGGTTCGCCCTTGGCGTTTTTGATGTTGTAACGCGGGTTCGACCTTGGCGTTTTGATGTTGTAACGCGGGGCTCGACCCTGGCGTTTTGATGTTGTAACGCGGGTTCGACCTTGGCGTTTTGATGTTGAAACACGGGAAGGACCTCCGCGTCTTGCCTTGCAGAGATTATCATCAAGTAATCTCTTTTTGTCATAGCGTTGTAAAGATCATTGTCTTATAATCTTCGTCTTGGCTCCTTGAGAATATGAGAGTCGTCAGATTATAACTCCCGATGTTGATTGTGAAGGCTGTTGAACCTTTCTGTCAGAGTATTGCTAAAGACTGTCGTTTTGTAATCTTTGCTTTAACTCTTTGACATGTGAAAATCTTCGAATTGTAGCCTTCTGGAAGTCGTCAGATTGTAACTTCCATCATCGGTGTTTGATGGAGGATAAGCTATCTATTGTGATTTTTAGACAGCCTACAGAACCCCCTCCAAAGTTTTCGAAAGTTCGCGGTTGACTGGGACGAATTTTCGGAATACTTTGGATCTCAACTCTGATCTTGGAGGTGTTGATTCCTTGTCGTAAAGGAGTCGTTCTCTGCACTTGCTTTGAAGGCATCTTGGTTGAAGGGATTTGCCACGTAGGACCTTTGTGAAGGTATGCGTCATAATCCTGCTTCTGGAATGTTGGGGGTGGACCCTGCATTTTGAACTTAAGACGCGGGTGTGACCTCGACGTTCTGTTTAAAACTCGCTGGTCTAACCTCGACATTTTGTTTTCGCATCGCTGGTCTAACCTCGGCATTTTGACTTGAAACGCGGCTATGACTTTGGCGTTATCGTCGTTGCATCGCGGGTCTGACCTCGGCGTTATCGTTTTTGCGACGCTGGTCTGACCTTGACGTTTCGATGTGAGACGCAGAGGTGACTTTCATGCGTTTTTGACTTGTCTTTGAGACTTGTCTTCAGCTTATTCGTTTCAAGTCTTGGCTCACGTTCATTAAGCTGGTGGGCCTGAAAACATGCATAGGATTTTTGGCAAGCCCTCAACCATCAACGGATTTGATAAGTCTTTACCGACTACCGTTTGAATCGGGCTAGCATGTGGATTGTCTAAGTCCGTTCCACATGTAACGTTGTGCTAAGAGAATGAACTCTCTTAGACTTGATGCTATGATTTTGAATACATAGACTTTGTCATTTTTACGGAAAAAGACTAACCGGCGACGCGTGTTAGGCGTAGGCTTATCACTGCTTAGGATTTGGGATAATGTTCCCCATGCGTGTAAAGCATGGATTTTGGCGTTATTAATAACGACCTGCTACGATGTTGAATACGTAGACTTTTGTCCTTTTTTTACGGTGAAAGACTAACCGGCAACGCGTGTTAGGCGTTGACTTATCCCTACTTAGGATTCGGGATAAAATTCCCCATGCATGCGAGGCATGGATTTTGGTGCTACGATGTTGAATACGTAGGCTTTGTCACTATTTCTTCCTGTGTTATATTTTTACTTGAAACACTGAAAGAAAATTATAAACGCCAGAGGTGTAGTATTAACTTGGCATGAATTTTCACTAAGAGTGAAATTCAGAAATTTTCTTTGTTATCACTAGGATAATTCCAGAAAATCTTTAATCCGCTGGGGATTTTATAATAAAAACTTGCTATTCTTGTTGAAAAAGAATTAACAAGTTCATTTGGGGGGTTTGACTGTTAGAGGTGTGATGTTAACCTAACAGTATTTTATGGACCTATCGCTCTATTGAGGAGAGTCGATAAGTTGATTTTTGTCAGAGGTGTAGTGTTAACGTGACAGGATGTGTGTTGCGATTGGAGCAACTTTGTGGACTTATCATCCTATTGACGAGGATTGATAAGTGGATTGTTGTCAGAGGTATATTGTTAACGTGACAGGAATGTGTTGCGATTGGAGCAACTTTGTGGACTTATCATCCTATTGGAGAGGATTGATAAATGAATTTGTCAGAGGTTTAGTGTTAACGTGACAGGATGTGTGTTGCGATTGGAGCAACTTTGTGGACTTATCATCCTATTGGAGAGAATTGATAAATGAATTTGTCAGAGGTTTAGTGTTAACGTGACAAGATTTGTGTTGCGATTGGAGCAACTTTGGGGACTTATCATCCTATTGAAGAGGATTGATAAGTGGATTTGTCAGAGGTTTGATGTTAACGTGACATGAGGATGTTGCGATTGGAGCAACTTTGGGGACTTATCATCCTATTGACGAGGATTGATAAGTGGATTGTCAGAGGTTTGATGTTAACATGACAAATTAGGA